ATTGCTTGAACCCAGAAGGCAGAGGTTGCAGTGACCCAAGATCATGCCACTCCACTCCAGCTTGGAAGATGGAGCTAGACTCCGTCTGAAAAAAAAAAAAAAAAGTTCAGGAATTCAAGCTTCAGGTATAGTGAGATCTAGGTGCTCAAAAGATGTTTCTGGAACCTAATTTGTCTTCTATCTCTCTCTTGACTACATTGTCTCTCTATAGGGTGCAGTTTGTTGACAACGACATGGCTGGGTTCCAGCCCTTAAATTCTTTGAGTTTATGTCTAAAGAACAGAGTAGATTCCCGGCTTAACTTCCTGAACGGAGTGTCATTGACTCTGACTGGTTGATATGCACATTCCTGAGCTATGCAGCATAGGCAGGGTTGTGGAAAGCACAGGGTGGTTTCATTACGGTCCCTAAGAATGGATTCTTGGAGCTGAAGATAGAGATGTTGGCCTCATCAGGAACATGTGGGAGGGGGAGTGATCGAGGCAGTGGTTTTACTCAGGCTCTTCCTGGAGGGGTTGCTCTGGTGATTGATTGATATTGATCAAAATCTTCTAACCAATGGCGAAGAAACATACTGGGTCTTGAGAACAGGACAGCTCAGAAAGAAATACTTGTTCAGGACACTGTGTTTTCAGAAACACTTTTCCTTCTGGGTTAGATATGCCTCAGTGTTCAAGGTTAATCTCTTTTGGGAATACCAGGACAGAATTGTGGAAAGTTTCCCCTCCTTCCCACGCCTACGCCCGTTTGGAGCCCCAGAATAGCACTGAGGTTGCTGAAATGCTACATTTGGGGAGGGGCAGCTCCTCCGAAGATAACTTGGGGTCTAGAAAAATAAGACTCGATGGGTCAGTTGACAAATGGATGGTGTGTGTGGGTCTCGGCCAGGGTCCCACATCAGAATCTAGTGCTGATAGCTTCCTTGTCTGAATGACATAGGCTCTCCAAGAATGATTCATTTTATTTAGGATGGGTCAGTTTTGCTTCTGATCTTGCTTTTAAATAACAATGAACAATGGTTAAGTATTTGCTGTCTGCCAGACATTTACTAAATCCTTTTTTCTTAATGTACTAGACTGTTCAGTATAGTTTTATTTAAATAATAAAAAGCCGGAACAGGCTGGGCACAGTGGCTCATGCCTGTAATCCCAGCATTTTGAGACACTGAGGCAGGAGGATTGCTTGAGCCCAGGAGTTCGAGACCAGCCTGGACAACATAGTGAGACTCTGTCTCTACAAAAAAATAAAGAAAACAGAAAAAAAAAACTGGAACAAACTAAAATAGGTTGATTGATATAGAGTTTATTAAATTATTGTCTATTCTTGTGAAAGAAAACAATGAGATCATTTAAATTGTGTTTTGG